AAGAACAAACCTACAGTCCCTATCTTGTAGTTGCTCTGCCCCGGGCTTCCTGGAATCAGCTGCTGATCAGTTTCAGCAGCAGCTGACTTGGGGACGCCTGGGGTTCTTAAGTTGATTCTGTATGTAAGTCAGAACTGGCGGTCAGTTTCAGCAGTGTCTGAATCTGGACGCCAGTTCCGACTTACATACAGATTCAACTTAAGAACAAACCTACAGTCCCTATCTTGTACGTAACCCGGGGACTGCCTGTATTTACGAACTTTGCCTGATTTCTAAGTTGACTGTATCCTTTTGGTCATTAGCTTTAATTTCCTTACTTCTGAAACTTCCCTTCCTAACGACAAACATGACGTTAAACCTTCAGGAAATGGACATGGCAAGCATTTAAGAGCACGTGAGCAAAGCATTTCTTCCAAAAATATCGAGATGCGCTAATGCTTTGTAAGAGCCCGGTATCATCTGCCTTTTTAAAAAATGTGTTCAGAATTTTAAAGGATGTTCTCTCCTCAACATTTTTCCATGCTTTGTCTTAAGGGTTTTTTTTTTTCTTGCATGTGAATACTGAGAATTCAAAGGATTCTATTACTCTTTCTAACTTGATCTGAAAATCAAACTTTCTTTTTCTGCCTCCTATAACATGCTGGTCAGAAAGATTCTTCAATCAGACCTCAATTGATTGGATTTCATTCTGGCTTGTACATTAAAAATACAGAGTGCTCCATCCTGCACTGGCTTTGTAGGGCTAATGGTATTAAAAACCCAATGGTTTTGGCACTTAAAACAGCTATGGACAAAACCTGTGCTAAGGGACAAGAAGATCTAATGCACCTTTCATCTCGAACTTTAAACATCACTCTATTGTAATGACCTGTGATGATTTTTTTTTCCTGTTCCAAAGGTTTGTTGGGCTTTCCTATCTTTTCTGTGAACCATTTGCCTTGCTTACAAATTTCCTTTTTAATAACATTTACCCTGTAATCTTATGTATTATTTGATTCCAGTTACAGGTTGGACCTCCCTAGTCTGGCACTCTTGGGTATGTCTACACTTGCACCCTCTTTCGAGAGAGGGATGCAAATGCAGCTGAGTGAAATTGCAAATGAAGCACAGGTTTGAATTTCCTGCGCTTCACTTGCATATTTGCGTTATGGTGCTATTTTGAAAAAAGAAACGCTATCTAGACGCGGTTATTTTGAGGAAAAAACCCTTCTTCCGAAATAAATGGTAAACCTCGTTGTAGGAGGAATAAGGGTTATTTCAGAAGAAGGGGTTTATTTCGAAATAACCGCATCTAAACAGAGTTTCTTTTTTCGAAATAGCGCTATTTTGAAATAGCGCCATAACGTGAATATGCAAATGAAGCGCGGGAAATTCAAATCCGTGCTTCATTTGCAATTTCACTCAGCTGCATTTGCATCCCTCTTTCGAAAGAGGGTGCAAGTGTAGACATTCCCCTTGGGACCTGACCGGTCCCGAGTGAGGGAGTATGCTGGACCAGGGGAGGTCAGTTTTGGCTCCTCTGCTGCCAGCCTACAACCCTTCTAGGGGACTGTCAGCCTCTTAGCTGGGCTCCCCTTCTGGCTACTGGCTCTCAGGCTCCCTACACAGCTGCCGGCTCCAGCTGCTGGGCTCCACTTCCTGCACCATCGGCCCATCAGCCTGACTCTGCTTCTAGCTGTCCGTCCCCTGGCCACCAGCCTCTCTGTGGTCGATCTCCCAGTTGGCTCCTGCTCTCAGCTGCCAGGGCTCTGGGGTTGGGCAATATCTGTGGTCCTGCCAGACCACAAATGTTGTCAGATTTGTACAGGCTTTTAAGAACACTTTTCACAGGCAAAAAAAAATACTTTCCCCCTGCTCTCCCTCCCAGCATTAACTATAATTATTACCTTTCTTTTACAGAGGGAGAAATCTAAAAGAGTGGGGAAGTGACTTGCCCAAGGTCTTGGAGTAAGCCAGTGGTACGGAATCAGAAATCCTAATAAGTTTAATGATTACAAAACATGAAAGAATTGTCTGTACTGGTAATAGCTCTTTGGGATGGAGGGTTCTGTATACTTTATTTCTATTTAATCACTAGGGAGTTTAAATAACAAGATCTGTTCCCTGGGATTTCATCATTTCATGCTGCTTAATCTCTACCTGAAATCTCAATCCCCTGTGCATGACCTCATAATCACGGTCACCACAATGTTATAAATAGAGGAATAAGTCCTGTATAGTTTATGCCTCCAATATTCCTGCTTACTATCACAAGTGTTTGTGGTGGGAAAGAAGAATGTAGAATTCAGCCCAGAGAGGAGTCCAAAGCGCATCCCTGGCACCAAATCACCCCCAAAGTTTTGGAAAGTGTCCCCCCAACTCCTGTGGATGCCTGGTAAGCCCCCACTGGCCACCTGGGGATCACCAGTAGGCCTCCACACTGCACTGACCAGGGACAGCAGTGAGCCCTTCTCACGGGGGCTGCCATTAAGCCCTGCTCCCAATGACCATCCGGAGGCGACTATTAAGCCTCGCCCAATCTACTACACCTAGTTCACTGAGCCTCCCCTGCTTGTGAGGCTGTGGGGGCAGTGGGTGGTCTCCGAAGCAAACTGGCCACCAGGTCAACCTGGGTGCTTGCAGAAGAGAGGAGGTGGCCCCTTTCCAGCAGTCAGACCCACCTGCGAGAGCTGGCCTCCTTCTGCAGCAGCCACCAGGTCATCTTGGGTATTAGGAAAGAAGAGAAGGGAGGTGGTCGGGCCCTCCCTGGCGAGGGCTGCCTTGCCCACCTCCTCCAGTTGCTCTGCCTACCTTGTGGGAGAAGAGACACAGTCTTGTATTTGAAGGCTGATTTCAGTAGATCTCAGTGAGGTAGCTGCTCTGCTATGCACGAAACGGTGACCCAGAATCAAGTCATCTATGAATGATTCAGCACCAGTCCCCACGAACAGGATCCATGATGCTTATGCTGCTATGGCATCTGTGTGGATAACCAAGGGGGGGTGGGGAATGGGTGTGAAAAGATTTTTGCCATTACTCTCCAGCAGGAGTGGGGGGAAGGAGGAGAAGGCTGGGAGAGAACAAACTAGTGTGTTAAGGGACAATGATGACATATACCCAGAACCACCAGTTACATGTTTTTTGGTCCTGGTATGCACTAGGAACCTAACCCAGAGTGCAAAGAGATGCATCGCTCTCAAAGTTGACAGTAGTCACCCTACTGTGGATGTTTAGAATTCTGTTGAATTCTTGCATGCATGCAATGGGAGGCATGTATCTTCAGCTTTACAAAATCAAGTGCTAAAAAGCCAACCTTAAATTTGACAACCTCTCCATGTTGACATGCCTCAATAAGAATTTATGTAAAAGCCGCTATTCTGCTTTTTTTTTTCTTAAAAGATTAAGTTTGTGAAAGACTTGTCCCTTTTTCTCCAGCTGCGTTTTCTGACACTTTTTTTCAGGAAACTTAAGGACAGTAGAACAAGAATGTGTGTGCATGGTTTTTTATTAATGCAGTATCTGAGCACATCATTTCTGTTGTGTGTTTAACATCACTACAATCCTATGTGGTAGGGAAGGATGGCTATTCCTATTTTATAGATAAGCCGGGGGTATGGAAAATAACTTTTTCATGTCTGTAGCAGAGCCATGGACTGAACCCAGATTTCCTGAGTACCAGAACCTTAATTCTAAAGTTTTTTAATCTCTAGGAAGGATCTTGTCTTTGAAGCTTCATAGTTTTGACCAGAGATTAGTTTACAGATGGGTAATGGAGCCTTTCATATCTCGTCTTGTATTTAATCCAAGGGTAAAATCCTGGACCCATTGATTTAAATGCAGGCAGGATTTCAGTCCAAGTCAGTAATAGTTAATCGCTTGTGTAGATGTGGGAACTGTTTAGTGGCCTTTTGTGATTAATCTGATGGTGTTGGTGGTGTTACTTCAGAAGGACCATTCCCTTGGGCAATAATCTCATGTTGCTAGCTTCAAAACAGAGACCTGCATTAATGAGCCATGGAAACTGAACTCCCCTCTCATCCCTGGAGAATACTGGGGTAGTAATATGCTTATCTGTACTACTGATAACTGGAAGACTTCAATCTCTAATGCAGAGATGGGGAAACTTCTGGCTGCAGTTTGCCAGTTATCTGGTGGTGCACTACGGGCTACTTTGCACCTGAGTCTGCAGAAGCTCAGGTAAACAATTTGCTGTCCTTGGCCAATGGGAGGTGCAGGAAGCAGCATAGGCTGGGCCAGCAGGAGCTGAGATGCTATATCTGTGGACACTTAAGTAAATAAAGTATCTGGCAGCCCCACCAGCAGCTAACTTCGAATTGTTTGGCCTTTGGGCCAGAGGTTTTCTGCCCATGTTCTAAAGTAGAGGTCGGGGCCACTGACCTACAGAAAAATCAGTCAGGGGTCACACTAGTGAGAAAAAAAACCCCAACCCCTCTCACTGATGTGGCCTCTGAGAAGGACACTCCCCACAGTCTCTCCACGCACCAGAGCCTAGGGATGTGCAGCCTGGTAGATTGTGTGTGCTCCAGCCTCACGGAAAGATGGGGGGAGCTGGAGTGCCGGCACGGGCTCCCCAATGCTGGGGGAGGCGGGAAGCTTTGGGCCTCAGGTTCTCCACCCCAGTTCTAAAGCTTCTATCCCAAATAGGATGGCCCTCATGTTGCTTTGGTCGGATCAGTCTAGCTCAGCATTTAAGAGGCTAGAGTTCTTTACAAATCTCAAAACCTGAGAAGAATTCTCTAAGTAAGGAAATTGAGTGAAATAGATTAGGATTTTCACCCTAGCACACACTCAAATGGACAAACAGCTGATGCCAGTCAGAACTCTAGTTCTTACCATGGATGCATTTGACTATATCTTCTGACTACGTTTTATAGAGAGTTACTGAGTGCCTCTAGAAAGCATTGGGATAATGTTTATTGCTTTGCTCACATGGCTGATCACAGACCGTTCCATGAACTCCTTTTTATTTTGTGTTTATTTTTGGCTGTTCCTCCTTTAGAATGACTGAGGAGATTCTTCTTTAAAATTTGTTTGGCTCTGCACTTGACACAGATTGAGAATTGTCTTCCTGCACTGTTAATGGTAGGTATGATTTAAACATGCAATCCATCTATTTTTGTAAAGAAAAGATTTTGATGAAACTTGAGGATGGTTTTCCCCTGGATGCTAAGAGGTGTTGGTACCTTTTCTTTGGCTTAATTGACTGTAGCCACCCTCCTGGGGATGCTCTATTTCGAACTACATTGAATTATTTTAAACAGTGGAAGATGTGCACCTTTGACTTCACAAAATTGGGTGCTTAAAAGTCTACCTTAAATTCGGCCACCTATGTGTAGAGTTAAGAGTTATCTGAAAGCAGATATTCTGCTTTTTTTCTTTTCTAAAGGAATAAGGTTGTGAAAGGCTTGTTCCTTTTGATCTAGCTAACTTTTTGTCTTTTTTTTTTTTTCCAGCTAGTTTAAAGACCATAGAGCAAGAATGTGTGTACATTATAGATTGGACTAGAACAGCGGTTCTCAAACTTTTTAGGCTCCGGAGCCCTTTAAATACGTAAAAATTTATGCGGAGCCCCAGTGGTCCCCTGGTTGTAGGTGTTGTACCTATCGATGTTTCCAGTTTGTCAACCTTACGGAGCCCTTGGAGATGTCTCCTGGAGCCCTGGGGCTCTGCAGAGCACAGTTTGAGAAACACTGGACTAGACGCTCTGGTGGCCAAAGGTCACTTAACAAGTTTCCATGGAATTTTTTTGAGTCACTTTTCCTCACGTAACCAGCAATTGCTTCCCCTGCCCCACCTCTCCCCTTACCCCTTCTCCCTTTTGACAAAGATAGCACTAATGTTCAGCCTAAGGAGGTCTTGCCCTGATATCTGTTGCATAATTCAAATTATTTTAATGGCTGCTCCTTATTTTACCCCACTGAGAGCAGAATCACACATTTTAAGTGCTTAAGTAAAATGTATTTACTTGCATTGCAAGCATCTGAAATCAATATTAAAATAGAAGATTTTTACAAATGTGTGTGTGTGTGTGTGTGTGTGTGTGTGTGTTTGTGTGCGCCAATCAAAAGTCCATGCGCTATCATCAGAATGACACCCTAACAGTAGCTTCAGAGGGGTAGCTGAGGGTACGTCTACACTACAACATTAATTTGAACTAACTTAGTTCGAATTAGTTAATTCAAACTAAGCTAATTCGAACTAACGGATCTAGACTAAAAAACTAGTTCGAATTAGCGTTTTGCTAATTCAAACTAGCATGTCCACATTAAGTGGACCCGGAACCAGGCTTAAGGATGGCCGGAAGCAGTGCCGGCAGGGCATCAGAGGAGGACTTAGAGTGTGGAGATGCTGTCTCAGGCTAGCTGAGGGCTGTGCTTAAAGGGTCCTGACCCCCACCCCAGACAGACAGTTCTCAGGGCTGCCCCGCTTGCAAAGCAGTCCTGGCTTGGAGTGCTCGGAGTACCCACACTGGGCACATCGCAGCACTCGTGCAGCTGGTCTGATGGCCTTGCCGCAGGCTGCCATCTGGGGAGAGGGGGCAATTGGGGGGCTGCAGGAGAGGTTCCACCCCCAGAA